GCTTTGCTTCTACCCTTCATCTTCATAGACTGACATCTCCATTATTGCCCAGGGATCATAGACTGACAGCTCCGTTCTTACTCAAGCCTCCACCAATAGTTTCAAAAAGAGCTTTAATTTTTTGAGATCAGGGTGATAAAGAGAAGGGAAGCATGCATAAGAACTTCCTTTTCAAAGACATCGTTCTAAGTGAAATAAGCCAGACACGAAAGAACAAATATTACATGATCCCACTCATGTGGTACCTAGAATAGGCAAATTAATAGAGACAGAAAGTAGCATAAAGGTCCAAGTGTTAGGGGGAATGAGGAAAGGGGAGTTATTGTTTAATGGGTACAGAATTTACGATGATGAAAAATTCTGGAAATGGATAGTAATGATGGATATACAACACTGTGAATGTACTTGATGCCACTGAATTTTACACTTAAAAATGGCTAGAATGGTAAACTTTATGTGGTGTATATTTTCCCACAATGTAAAAAGAAAAGTAAAGAAAATACTAGAGGTAAAATCAGCATTCTTTATTACTGATCCAACAGAATCATTTTTTTCTGAGTTACTAAGATTGGTATCTTTGGGCAATTATGTTAGATAGTTTGACTGATATTTTTACTGGTTGGTTTAAAATAAATTCCTTCTTTTCTCCTGAAAAAAGAGAATTCTATTCTCAAACCCAGCTTCCTTAACAAGGCTAATAACACCCAAAGGATTTTACTCTGTTGGGTTCCAGAGCATGTATTTTCAATTCCATCCCTGGAGGAAGTCAGACTCATGGTGTGGAGAGCGGCTATTGGACGATACGGGATTTAAAGGAGAACTGGTGTCTCAGAGCGCTCGCAGGTGCCAAGTCTTTCCCAAGTCTGCATCTCTTTTTCCCCTTCTGACCTGATGCTGACTCCCCTGCCAATCACAGTGCTCGGACTCTCAGGGGAGAGGTGATGAAGGAAGCCTGGGTTATGAACAATTACTATCAAACTCAGTGTCCCTACGAAATGCAGAGCACTGGGCAGGCTGCAGGGGGAGCCCACGTGCAGACCCTGCAGGGCCACCTGGCTCTCCCAGGCAGGCTCCCAAGTAGCTGATCCCCCGCCGCTGAGGTCAAGCAGCTCTAGCCAGCGTCTCTCCAAATACAGCTTGACTGGGATAATTATTATTATATATTATGAGAAACAGAAAGAAAACTAAGAGAAAGAACTCAAAGTACCAAGAGACAAGAGAAACCGGCATAGTGGGTGGAGAAAGTGAGGGCTTTGGTGAACCATCTAAATGTTGAATAGTGGGAGAAGAAAAGAGAATCAGAGAGTAAACAGAAGCTTCCATGAAACATCATGCTGCTGCACTTTCTTCCACAAAAGAGAGAGAGAAAGAGAGAGAGAGAGAGAGAGAGAAATGTGGAGCCGTCTAGGGAAGGTTAAAATAACTGATTTCACGTAGTGGAGATTTGAGAGTGTAAGAGCAAGCAAGAAGTGGGCCTGAGGACTACAGTAAAGAGAAATTAGGTAAGCTGAGGGTTGGTGGTGAAGGGATGCCAGCTGGGCTGATGATGAAACCTGGGACGTGGACCATTCAAAGCCTGGTTACTGTGCTTGATGGTGCCAAGCCAGAGACAGTAATGAGACTTGATTTATAATTACCTGTCTTTACACAGCTTGTCCTCTGGGTAGTAGAGTGACTTCTGTTGGGCTGAGCAGATGTTGCTTTGGGGGCCTTTGTGGACACAGTAAAGATGACGAGCTCTGGATTCCTGGGACAGAGGTAAGATCCTTATCCTTGGGGAGGGAGCTTTCTTCCCCGTTGCCTTTGGGTCTTGCTAAGCAGCGGAAAGTTACCCAAGCTGGAGCACTGAGCTTTCCTAGGTAGGACCTGTTACAGACATAGTTTCAGTGATGACTAGATCACATTAAAACAGTTCAGTCCCCTCTCACTCTATAGTGAGACAAAGACCAAGATCCCACAACCTTCAAAAAGCATAGAGGCAAAGACCTTGGATCATCAATGACTCATGTTCCTCCTCCCCTTCCCTTTCAAAAGTGCAGAAGTTTGTGAATATTTCAAAGGCAGCAGAAAGATAGCCACCCCACTGTCTCCAGATAAGGTGACTCTAGGTCAGAGAAGGAATTTCATACAGTAGGCTTAATGAGCCCAGAGATCAAGAGGCTAAACTGAAGAGCAGAGAGACAGAAATGACAGGAGTGCAGAATTAAGGCAGCAAGGGTCGGGCTGGGAAGGTCCTAGGCTGGAACGGGTGACCTCAGTCAATAGATAACAGCGTCACCTGTTGGCACATAATAGTAGTAGTAACAGTAGTAACAACAATTATAGTGTGATACTTATATTGAGTGTTCTGTACATGTGCATGATAAACCCTGTCCTCACTCTCAAAGCTGGATCTCTGAGAGAACCCTTCTTAACTCATTTTATGAGACCAATATTAATTACCCTAATATCAAAAGTGTTAAAGACATCATAAGAAAGGAAAACCGAACACCAGTATGTTTCATGAACATAGATGAAAAAAATCCTCAGCAAAATATTAGTAAATCGTACCCAACAATGTCTAAAAAGAATCATACATCATGATCAAGTGAATTTATTCCAGGTATGCAAAGCTGGTTCAACATTTAAAAATCAATGAATACAATCCATCACATCAACAGGCTAAAGAAGAAAACAAAATCACATCAATTGATGTAGAAAAGGCATTGAACAAAATCCAATGCCCACCCATGATAAAACTCTCATCAGACTGGGAATAGAGGGGAACTTCCTCAGCTTCATAAAGAACATCTACAGAATTTACACCTTAGGTTCGTCAATTGTAACGAACTGGAGATATTGAATAGGGGAGAGGCTGTGCGTGTGTGGGGACAGAGGGTAGATGGGAAATCTCTGTACCTTCCTCTTAATTTTGCTGTGAACCTAAAACTGCTCTAAAAAAATAAAGTCTATGGGTATGGTAACGCCTTTTTAGATACAACACCTAAGACATGGTTCATGAAAGAAATAATTGATAAGCTGGACTTTATTACAATTAAAAACTTCTGCTCGTGTCCCGAGACTGTGCTCCGCAACGGGAGAGGCCACAATAGTGAGAGGCCCACATACCACACACACACAAAAAACAAACTTCTGCTCTTTGAAAGACAATGTGAATAGAATTAGAAGGTAAGCCACAGACTGGGAGAAAATATTTGCAAAAAACATATCTGATAAAGGAATATTATCCAAAATATACAAAGAACTCTTAAAACTTAACAATAAAAAAACAAACACCTGATAAAAAATGGATCAAAGCCCTTAACTGGACATCTTACCAAAGAAGATATACAGATGGCAAATAAGCATATGGCAAGATTATCCACATTGTATCATTAAGGAAATGCAAGTTAAGATGACAATGATATACCCCACTAGACACCTATTAGAATGGCCAAAATCCAAAACATTGACAACACCAAATGCTAATGGGTTTGTGAAGCAAAAGGAACTCTCATTCATTGCTGATGGGTGTGCAAAATGGTACAGCCACTTTGGGAGACAGTTTAGTAGTTTTTTTTACAAAACTAAACATACCCTTACCATGTGATTCAGCAAGTGTACTCCCTGCTATTTACCCAAAGGAGTTGAAAACTTATGTCCACAGTAGGTGAATGGATAAATAAACTGTGGTTCATCCATACAGTGGAATATTACTGAGTGCTCAAAAGAAATGAGCTATCAAGCCATGAAAAGACATGAAGGAATCTTAAGTGCAAATTACTAAGTGAAAAAAGCCAGTCTGAAAAGGCTACATATCGTATGATTCCGTTACATAATGTTCTGGAAAAGGCAAAACTATAATGATGGTAAAAAGATCAGTGGTTGCCAGGGGCTTGCGGGGAGGGAGGGGGGTTGAACAGGTGAAGCACTACGGATCTCTTAAGGCAGTGAAATTACTCTGTGTAATACTGTACTTGTGGATACATAACTTTATGCATTTATCAAAACTTATAGAACTTTACAGCACAGACAGAAAATGAAACTTAATGTATACAAATTTTAAAAAACTACCTAGAGGTCAGGGAATCCTAAAATGAATTGCAGAATATGACTAAATAATCTAAGTGTATTACAAATGAATGAAACAGCTTCAGGGACGGGAGTGGGGAAAACCAAGTTACTTGATTTAAGTAACTTTGGAAATGAGTGGAGTCTGTAAGACTAAAGGTAAAATAAATTGTACTTATGTATTATACAGACTACACAGGTAAGCAAGGGAGGAAACCAGAATGATCCATGTGATAATGGATTGGAGTTGGAGACATCAATATGAACTCATGTTTAGTTTAATATCGATACAAATGGTTACATATGGAACTATTTATAGATATGTCTATATACATGGATTAGTACACTCATGTATATTTCTTTGCTCTGTCAGCTGAAAGAACCCAGAAGCACGGACACCCCAGTAGCAGCAAGCATGCCTAGTGCCCAGGTCTTTGTTTCTCATACCATTCTCCAACAAAAGGTACCAGAGCTCCTTGGAGAAATGGCTGATTCTAGGCCTGGGGCAGGAAATATACAAGATAAATAAGGAGATACTCAAACATACACAGACACACACAAAACAAAAACTGAGTCCCATGAAAATGGGGGTATGTCAAAGGGACACAGGAGGCAACTGAAAGAGCTCCCAATAGCCAAAGCTAGAACGATTTGAGCAACAAAAAATGTAGTATATTGGACAATAATATTCCAAAGAATAAAGTAAGTATCTGTAGTCCATATTGACAGACATACATTACTGAACAAATAAGTGTGAGAGAAGTAAAAAATCTCCTGAGCAGAAGAAATCCAAAATCAATGTAGATACTTCACTCTCAAGCAGGTGAAGCATAACTCCCCACTCCTTAAGTGTGAGTTGTACATAGGACTTCCTTCAGAAAAGTACCATATGGAAAAGAGGGAAAAGATTAACTTCCGTGGGGAAACCCAATAAACGCTACCTCAACCGGATGATCAAGGTCAGCATCAACAGAGGTAAGTCACACTGACGTGTGATGTGACATGATGAGGACTGCACTTTACCTTTTTCGGTCTTCTTCTTCAAAACCCATAAGCCCGGTCTGATCATGAGAAAAACATCAGACAAATCCAAACTAAGGGATGTTCTACAACTCCTCAAAATTTTATACGTTATCAAAAACAAGAAAAATCTGAGAAACTGTCACAGCCAAGAGGAGCCTCAGAATACCTGGTGACTAAATGTAGCGTCCTGGATGGAGTCCTGGAACAGAAAGAGGACGTCAGGGAAAAGCTGAGGAAATCTGAATAAGGTATGGACTTTAGTTATTAATAGCATATCCATCTTGGTTCATTAATTATAATTAATGAAGATGTTCATAATAGGGGAAACTGGGTATAGGGTGTATGGGAACTCTCTGTATTATCTTTGAAATTTCTCTGTAAATCTAAGACTGTCCTAAAATATAAAGCCTATTAAAATAAAATGTATTTTAAAAATGGAATGCTATCTTCCTCCCCAGATCTTCCACCTCATGCAAAATTGGGCAGGATGGAGTGGGGAAAATTTGCAGAGCGCAGAGCTAGCTGTCCCCAAGGAATAAATGGAACTTTGGGTCACCAGGCGGGTCTGAAAACCCCAGTCAGGATGCAGCCCCTTCCTCTTGGGCAGGTCTGATGTGCATTTGGACCCAAGGACGCACTCTCCACAAGTGATGGGCCACTGAGGTCTGAGGCGCACAGTGCCAGACCTGGCAGCTTTGGGCTGGGCTCTTCCTCACCTGGCCTCCTGGAGCCCTTGGCTCTAACCCCTGAACTCCCCAGCTCTGCTGGGGGTTGTCTAGGGGAATAAAGACTCCCCACCCCGTCCGGCAAAGCCTGGTCCTAGGTGAAACAAGGGGAGGGTTGAGCTCAGAGGTTAGGGGCCCGTGTTGAAAAAGAGGGAAGAGGGGGGCATTTTCTGTGTCCCCAGTTGGGAGGAAGTGCTCTTCACTCTCTCTGTGGCACATTCAGAGGGAGGGAGCTGAGTAGCCAGCGTTTCAGACGCTGAGAGGAAAAGCGCTGGGATTTGCAAGTGTTATAGCGAGGTGTGGGCTGGGAGAGTAGGGTTGGCGGTGCGGGCAGTTGCAGATTTAGCACCAAGCTTAGGAATATCCAAGGAACTTGAAGATACCCCACATTTTTGTAGCCAGGAAACGACTATGACTTTAAACTCGGAGGCACGTGCTGCCAGCGAGTGGTTTAGGAGAGGTGGCCAGTGCGCTCTGGAAAACTGAGGGCTGGCAGGAGATGGGGCTCGCTGGAGAGAGGGAAGATGGGAGCCAGAACCCCACAGCCTACAGGGAGGTGCCACAGGGAGGGGCGGAAACAGCCTGGAACTGGCGTTTCCACCCCCAGTGAGTGCCCAAAGGCCGGGGTGAGGTGTCAGAGGGAAGCCGTCGGTCTCTGTTCTGGCTGCGCCCTGCCCTCTCCAGCTTTACGCACGGGCTTGTCTTGTCTGCTGTCCCCTTGAAAAGGGCAGGGGAACTCCAGCGGCCTCTCCCGAGGACAGATCTTTTCCCATAGCTACAGGGCTTTACACCAGGGGCTCCCAAGGGCAGAAGAAGCCAGCTGTCAGGGCTCTACAACAGGGCGAGGGACAAGCAGGAATGGCCATGGGCGGACCGGAGAGGGGCGCACAGGCTGGCTGGCGGGTGGCAAGACCTCTGAGTTAATGTATAATTGACAGCAGATGGCAGGGGCTGGCGGCAGCCTGGGGCCTGGGCCCAGTGAATGAGGGACAATTAGCCCCAAGCCCGGGGTTGGGGGGCGGGTGTGTAGGTTGAGAGCCAGACAGTGAAGGCAGATATTTGCTTCTCAAACAGTCTGGTGCGTTGGGCAGAGGGCTGAGTGGCTGGGCCTCTGGGCTGGCTAGGCCCCCCTGCCACAGCCCTTCCTCTCTTTTCCCTCCCCCCATCACCTCTGGGTCGAAAGCCTCTGTTTGTTCAGACCCAAGAGTGTGTTGTAAAGGTGGGGGGAGAAGGTAGTTTATGGGGGAAATCGCAGCCACCACCATCTGCCAGGTCTCGTCCCTTCTCCCCCTGACACCCCTATCGCCACCCTCACACAGCTGTCTATGGGAATAGTGGGTCTGGACATGGAGCCTTTGGCACCCAGATGCAGGGGCAAATCAAGAGGAAGGGATGAGGCAGGAAAGGAGGAGTAAGATTAGAGCTACCACATGCCTTCCTTGGGAACTCCTCTCACCCAGGCATGGCAGAGTCCAGGGACCAGCAGTCCCAGCTGCCCTGGGAGTGAATGGCCTCTACAGCCACCAGAGCGTGTGCTGTCCTGCCCCTGGTGCTGAAACCGCCTTCTGCAGTCTCCCCTGTCCCCGAGGGCTCCAGGCTAGTCTGAGGATGCTGAAGGAGGCTGGAAGAGAAGGGCAGTACATGTCAGGGTAAGGTAGAAAACCCACTTCTGTGATACATTTGGCCCTGCTTTGAGAATAAGAGTTCCCAATCCTAGGATCAAGCTGAACATACAACATCAACACCCCTGCCCCCCAAACCAAAGCATTTACCATTGAAACCTATTCTTCCCCGCTCTGGGTCTAGTGTTAGAGCACCACACCCTGCTTACTTTCAGCCTGACTTCTGAGAGGGTTTCACAGACTCCAAGGTATGCGATGGACCCAAAGAGCTTTCCATGCCGGCTCCTTCACAAGGGGTCTGCCCGAGACCATGGTGGCAACAAAGCTTCCATGCGCTGGGGGCTTTGTTTCCCTTCCAGCTAGTGCCCCCCCCCACCACCTGAACAACAATCCAGATAATCTGTGGTATTCTCTGCAGGAACAGGAGTGTCATTCATAGCTCAGAGTCTAAAAGCACCAAATCCCTCGTAGAATGGAGCCTGATAAATCGAGAAATGGATAAACACCCCACCTGCAACCTAACTCCCTTCAGAGGCTCATTCCCTCCATCGCTCCTGTTGCCAGTGTTCTAAAGTCCAGGGTCCCCCAGTTTCCAGGCAAGAACTCATCCTGGGCGTCACCTCAGTCAAGGAGCCAATCGAAGGATTGGTGAGGACACTCTTGGGAAGAACTGGTGCTATGTGATACTCTCTCTATGCACACTGCATTCTCTCAGAGATCCATGAGCCAACTTGGCCGGTATTTAGGTGTTGGTCTATATACCCATTGACCTTTTATAGCAATACACATAGGACCCAGCAGTTGACCCGGAACCCAGAAGTGCATTCTGGCTGGGAAGCTGTGTCTGTGGTTCTGGAATTCATGTTTGGGCTTCTGTGCATTCAAAGCCTTGGGGACACAGTCTGAAATTCCCCATCCTCCTTATTCCCCATTCCCTTCAGGAGTACTGGCCCCCAAGTGGGTGTGCTCAGGAGTCAGGGGGCCTGCATGAGACTGGCTCTGTACCTGCTTCAGGGTGGCAGGTAGGCGCAAGGTGGGCTCTGAGGACTTCCAGTGGAAGGACACAGTGGGTCACTGGCTGTGGTTTGCCCTGACTCAGGGCCGGTGTCAGTCAGCCCCATGCACACCTCCCTCCTCCCCTCTCCTCTGCTCATGGCCTGTGACATCACTGGCTGCTCCCAGAAGGCTGCCCTCTGCTCCTGAGCACGGGCTTTCTGTGGCTCTGGACCCCCTGGCAGGACTGAAGCAGGAGCAGAGTGGAGGCTGTTAGCAGGACCAGACCACCACCATCCCTGGAGCCTGCAGGGGTCTCAGGAGCCCAGGCCAGGAGACTGAGACGCCCCCCCACACCAAACAGGTAGCTCACTGTAGGCTCATTGTCTGCTCCGCTCTCATGCTGGTTCCATGTCTTTGTGTGGCCAAGCCAACCTCTCTCGTCCTTTGTCTTTGCAGCCACCACCCTCCTGCCCCTTCAGCCCCCTCTCCTGCTCTCCCATCTTGTGAGGACCAGTTCTTTCATCAGACAAGTTAATATGAACGTTGGAAATGTGTGGTGTGGTGACCGGGGATGGCTTTCTGTTTTGAGTTGGGGTGATTTTAGGTTTGGAGATGATTTAGGTTTGGATGTTGAACCTGAGACCCCACAGCTCCTCTGAGCTCTGATCACTCAGGGGGGACTCAGTCCTATCAAGGATTCAGGGTTCGGCTGATTTTCTGAGCTTCCACCTGCCCCCGCTATCCCGGCATAGCCTTTACATCCCCAGATTGACTTTCCTCTCTCTATTGCTTTGGAGGCAGCAGGGGTGGAGGCAGAGAAAGAGAGCCTCGGGATTAGAAGCTGGAAACTGCAGCTTCTGAGGAGGGACTGGCTTCTAAACCTCCTTGAGCTTTACTCCCTGGGTGGCCCCTGATTTGTGGGAACCCCAACCTCTGCCTCAGTTTTCTTTTTGGAGAAACCTCTGCCTTCCTTCCTGACTTTCTGGAAAGATGAGAGCATGCAGGGGAATGTGTCTCTAACTGTCTAGAGAGGAGTGAGTAAAAGCTGATTTATCTCCTGAAATTTATCAAGTCGCTCTGGCTGCCATAGTCTTTGTGAGTTCATTGTTGTTTCCTTCGCGCTCGTCCCCTCTCCCTGGTTGCACTGTAATATCTTGGAGGGCGAAAACCTTGTCCCTATTCTTTTTACTCCCTTCATCTTAAACAACCAGCTATGTGCTCGCGATTAATACCTTATTCAGTAAATAATTGCAGATTAGTTAACTGAGCCAAGATGGCATGGTTATTACAGGAAAGTTCTATGCATAAGCTATTCTCTGGAGGGACCTCCAGCCCTGCCAGGGGTCTAGGCATAAAAGGAGGCGGCTTCAACTCCCATTACTAGCAGATAAAAGCAAGACGGACATGGTGGCCCACGACCTGTGTCCTGGGCTGCCAAGAGACTCTCTCGTGCTCGCACTGGCTTCTATACAGGTCAGAGACAGCTCTCTCCTGCTTCTCCCTCTCTCCCTTTGACATGCCTTCGGTAAACGGTAGTTGCAAGAATGATTGTCTGGTCCCAGAGACTCGGCCTCTGAAAGTGTGAGATCTAGACCTCTCCAGAGTTAACAGGGAGCAGCAACCCCAGTGGGTTAGAAGCTGTCAAGAGAGGTGTCTTCCGGGAGAAACCAGGACTTCAGGCTTGTTCATCTCTACTTCCAGGGGGTGGAACCCAAGCCTCAATGCCTGGGGGTAGAGCTGAGCCCTGGTGTTTCCCCAGACCTTCTTGGAGAGTATCAAAAACCAGAGCAAGACCCTCCCATGAGGTGCTCTGAAGGAAGCTTTCTGGCTGGTGGTTTGGAGAACATAACATCAGGACCTGCATGAGAGTAAAGGCAAAGCCTTGAACCTGGTCCCCGCCTCAGACCAGGGAGATGGAGATCTTTGGTCCCTGGTGCCCTCTCTGGCTGGGCATAGCATCCTGAGCTTAGGAGGCAGGACTTGGTACCAAGCGTATCACCTGGTGGCTGATAAGGCTTTTGAGTGGTCAGAGGCGACAGTGGTCCATTTGGAAAAGGGAAAGCATCATCCATTTTTACCTGACCTCTTGTATGGAACATGTGAGAAGGAGAGCCCTCCCACCCTCCCAGGCCCTTATCAGGACATCCAGAAAGATCCAGTCCTCTGCTGGCTCTGTGATGTTTTAATTCAAAGATTTAGTAAAGAGAAATTGAATTTTCGTAGCCAATCTACTGGCAAACTTTAGAAACCTTATCCTCTACCACAAAACACCCCAAGGCCATTCTAAGCAAGAGATTCTGCCCAAGGAACCCTCGATTATGGCAGGTCCAGCCTCAAGAACAAAAAAGGAGCTCCCAGGAGGAACTCCGCTCCCCAGTCTTCCCAGTTCCTGCCCTTCTGTGAGGAGGCCCAGCCTGGAGCATGCTGCAGGACGGTAAGATGCCCAGGAGAAGTGGGAAGAACAGGGTAGCATAGGAGGGCGGGAATGGCTCCGGGCTCTGCTTCCATCCACGTAGGTTCATGTGCCCTCAGCCAGCGTTCTGGGGGAGCCCCTCCCAGTCACTCCCTCCCCGCTCCACCCTGCTTCCCTCAGACAATGAGGGCCAGTGCATGTGGCCAAGGAGCAAAGACTCACACATAAGCCAGCTCCCAAAGAAAGTGGCATGTCTGGGGGACCCTGGGAGCAGAAGGGGGGCAGTCCCCTGGAGAGAGGATTTTCTCTGTGGTGGCAAGCCAGGCTAGCGGGGCCTGAGTAACCCTCTCCCAGGAGGGTCCTGCACGCTGCAGGTGGGCTGGGGAGAGGGGAGACTTCGGGTACGATGCTCCTTCTCCTGCCCAGGGATCAGCAGTGTGAATCAGCTGGGGGGGGCTCTTTGTGAATGGTCGGCCTCTGCCCCTGGACACCCGGCAGCAGATCGCGCGGCTGGCCGTCAGCGGGATGCGGCCCTGTGACATCTCACGGAGCCTTAAGGTAGTGTGCTGGGACCTTCACCCAGTGATGCGCACAAGCAGCAGGGAGAAGCGGCCCCTTTAAGGCAAGTCTGGGGCTGTTGCAGACTCGGAGGGCCTTTGGGGCTTGGGCTGCCTCCTTGAGGGCTGGGATAGGGAGCTTCAGGGTTCCAAAGGTGCGGCCAGACTCGACTCTGGGGCCTGATTCAGTCAGTCTCACTTTGCCTTGTAGCTTCCTTCTGTCCCAGGGACACTCACCCTCTGCCCATCATGCCTCACCTGTCCCTGCTTCTCACCTGACCCAGGTATCTAATGGCTGTGTGAGCAAGATCCTAGGGCGTTACTACCGCACAGGTGTCTTGGAGCCCAAGGGGATTGGGGGAAGCAAGCCGCGCCTGGCCACACCACCTGTGGTGGCTCGAATCGCCCAGCTGAAGGGTGAGTGCCCAGCCCTCTTCGCCTGGGAGATCCAACGCCAGCTCTGCGCTGAAGGGCTTTGCACCCAGGACAAGACCCCCAGTGTAAGTGCCCTCCCCTCCCCAGAACCGGAACTGCGGCTGCCAGACTGGTTGTCTGGGGAGGCAGAAGAAGATCCCTTCTTACTTGGCAGTGGGGCCTCCCAGGATGGGGGCGGGGCTTCTGGGCTCTCTTCTGACCCAAAAGTTTCTCTTCTGAAAAGCGGTGGTGGTGAGACAGGTGAGAAGAAGAAAGCGTGGGGCTGAAAGGAGGCTGCCCTTGGGAACGATGTGTGGGCCGGGACAGAGGAGAGAAAGGATACTGGGGAAACATCCTCAGGATGCAACCTGGGCTGGGCACCATTTCCCCACTCATCACCCCACATCCTCAGGTCTCCTCCATCAACCGAGTCCTGCGGGCGATACAGGAGGACCAGAGATTCCCCGGGGCACAGCTCAGGTTGCCAGGTGGGTCTTGGAGCTGCCTCCAGGGATGTTCAGAGCCAAACCTAAGCATTTTACAGTCCTCAGATTCCTTTCTTGTTCTTTCTTGGATCACCCTCACAACAAGACAATAACGTGGGCCTCACAGGGGGTCTTATTCTCTCCTAGCAGGAGAAAATGGAGGCTCAGAGGAAGGGAAGTAACTTACCCAAGGTCACCAGCTAGTTGTTGGCAGGTCCTGGAACAGAGCGCAGCTCCCTAGGTCTCTAAGTTCACAGGATCTGCCGAGGAGACAGGACTCAGAGCATTTTTGAGGTGCTGGGGGATCAGGCAAGCCTGGCCCATCCTTGCAGCTGTCTCCCCCCACATGCTAAGCATGCTCCCACCATGGCTGCGAACCCTCCCACCCAGTGCCCCTGCGGCGACCCCCGAGTAACTGTGGATGCCCCAGCGGTGCGGCTCCGCTCTCACCCTGCATTGTGCCCTGCCTACAGCACCAGGGACGTGGGGACTCCATTCGACCAGAGGAATCACCATCACAGACCCGCACCAGCCACTGTCTCCCTTTGCAGCTGTTTTGGCTCCAGTTCCTCCAACGCCACCTAGTGGCTCCGAGGCGCCCCGGGGGCCCCACCCAGGGACAGGCCACCGGAATCGGACGATCTTCTCCCCAGGCCAAGCTGAGGCGCTGGAGAAAGGTGCCAGAGCTGGGGCGGACGGTGGGCCACGGAGGCAACGGCCCAGAGGCCTGCGGGCCGAGGCTGAGAGCTGGAGGCTGTGGATGCCCCTGCGTCGGGGAGTAGGGCAGTTCAGGGCTGGCACAGGCGGGGAGTGGGGCCTTGCTCCTCTCCCCGCTCCCTTGCTGTGTGAGCCTCCATCTCTGCAGAGTTCCAGCGTGGGCAGTACCCTGACTCAGTGGCCCGCGGGAAGCTGGCTGCTGCCACCTCTCTGCCTGAAGACACGGTGAGGGTGAGTGAGCTCTGCCACACAGCGTCCACGCACCACAAGGACAGAGCGTCTGGGCCGGGCAGGCTTCCGCTTCCGGTGACGGTGACGTAGAGAAGGCGGCCAGAGGCGGAGACGGGCTTGTTCGGAGCAGGAAGGAGACAGGCTCCTCCCTGTTGCGCTTCTGCTGAGCTTTCTCCTCCACGGCTCGCTCCACGCCTTAGCACTGAGGAAGGGGACAGAGAGCCCAGGCCAGAGCAGCAAGGGGGGACGGCAGGGCTGAGGAAGGGTCTGCACTCCAAGTCCAGGTCAGGAGCACGTGGTGAGAGCAGTAGGTGCTGGGCCTTGGAGCGCACAGCCAGCTGCATCGTTTCTGCCCTCCTCAGATCTGGTTTTCCAACCGAAGAGCCAAATGGCGCCGACAAGAGAAGCTCAAGGGGGAAATGCGGTTTCCAGGTGATTTCTCTGCCCATCCATCCACTCACCTACCCTTCTTTCCTCCCTTCCTTCCTTCCCATCCATCCATCCATGCAACCACCAAACATTACTCGGCCCCTCCCATGCACCAGACCCTGTGTTAGATGCTGGACATACACAATCCCTGCTCTTCAGGGCTGCACTGACCCCACTTTACCATCCCTGGGATTTAATCCTTCTTCCCCAGTCTCCCAACACCCCGCCTTGGGAAGGAGGGCAGTTTGGGGCTGTAGCATCCATTTCGGCCCCCCCCCCCTCGAGAAGTCATTGCCTTTCCTAGAACCTCCCTGCCTCTCACCTCCACTCCCTGCTCCCCAGACCCCTGTTCCTCCCTCTGGTGCATCCACCCTTACCTTGTAGGTGCTTCCCAGGACCTGACTGTACCAAGTGCCTCCCCAGGGACCGTCTCTGCACAGGTATCCAGGAAGAGGGGGAAGACTGAAGGGATCACTGCTTGTCCCGTTCCCAGTGGGTGCCTGAGCTAGAATGCATGACTCCCCTGGGCCCTCACAGTACATGTTTCTAGAAAGTGCCATCCTCAGAGTTTACCATGTGAATGGCTCCCTCTGAAGTTGTTCAGGATACAGCCCTGGGGGTGGGGTGGGGTCGTGCAGCCCTGGGGTCCCAGTTGTGCTAAACAGGAGGCATCACTGGCAGCTGAGGGTTTCCTCTTGCTTTTTCTAGCAACCCCCCGGCAGTGTGTCCACAGCGGTCCTACCTGCCCTGGCATCCTTGGCTGCCTCCAGCTATCCGCGGTTCTGGGGGACAGCATCAGACAGATGTCTGAGTGACACTCCACCACAAGGGTGTCTCAAGCCCTGCTGGGGTGAGAATCCAGGCCAGGCCTCACTCCTGCAGGGTGTAGGGAAGGCTAACTGACTCCTTGACCCGCCGGAGGGCATGGATCCCCAGTCGGGGTCATCAAAGGAACCTCAATACAGTTTTCCTCATTCTTTGCATGGCCCATAAAGTTGGGGAGACTAGTACCCCCGAGTCTATACTATCATTGACGGTCAGAGTGGGCAAGGGGGCTGGGATGGAGATTCAACTGTGTATATCCAGTGTAGAGAACTGATGTCCGCCCCTCTCCCCATCAGTGACTTTGAGGGGTGGGGTGGCAGCAGCGAGCCCAAGCTCACCCTCTCTTCATCCCTACAGGCTACTTGCCCCCCACAGCCAAGCTCCCTGGATTCACTCCTGCTTTGCCATCCTTGCCGTTCCTTCCTCTGCCCCCATCGCCAGTCTTGGTACCCATCAGGTCTTGCTCTGGCCTGGCTCCCCACTTCGAGGCCTGGGATGAGGGAGGCGGTCCAGAGTGGAAAGGAGATGGGATGGGAAGGATCTGATACCGCCTGCCCAAGCAGAGCATCGCTCCTTCCTCCTTCCTGTGTCTCCTCCTCATCTGTGGACCTTGCCCTTCTTATGTGTCACCTGATTGCAGAAGCCATGCCCACCCACTTCTCACACTGGCCTTAAGACGCTTCCAGTTGGCAGTGATAAAAACATCTTTTAAATTAGCAGTAGTTCTGTTGTCCATCATGTTTTTCTCATGAGCACTCATAATCCCACCCCTATATTTAACAATTATAAAGTTTGCCATCGGGCTTCCCTGGTGGCGCAGTGGTTAAGAATCCGCCTGCCAATGCAGGGGACACGGGTTCGAGCCCTGGTCCAGGAAGATCCCACGTGCCGCAGAGTAACTAAGCCCGTGCACCACAACTACTGAGCCTGTGCTCTAGAGCCCATGAGCCACAACTACTGAGCCTGAGCGCCACAACTACTGAAGCCCACGCACCTAGAGCCCGTGCTCTGCAACAAAAGAAGCCACCGCAATGAGAAGCCTGCACACCGCAACGAAGAGTAACCCCCGCTCGCTGCAACTAGAGAAAGCCCGTGCGCAGCAATGAAGACCCAGCACAGCCAAAAAAAAAAAAAAAAAGTTTGCCATCTATCTAATTTAGTTATCTATGTAACTATCTAGTTATCATCTAATATATTTATGTGTCTATATAACTAGGTATCTAGCTATTATCTATCCAATCTATCTAATCTTTGTATTTATCTATGTATATATATCTACATATGTATGTAGATATGTATCTATCTTGGTGTTTGGGTGCTCATATACCCACATGTATGCACATATAACACATACACACACTGATAGTACCTCGTGGCACGTCACCCCTGAGTCCTCCAGCATGCATCTCCAAAAAATAAGGGAAATTTTCTTACATAACCACAACACCATGACCACATCTAAGAAAATGTATAATAATTTCTTAATCTAAGAAGAGAGACATGGGGCTTCCCTGGTTGGCGCAGTGGTTGAGAGTCCACCTGCCTATGCAGGGGACATGGGTTCGTGCCCCGGTCTGGGAAGATCCCACATGCCGCGGAGCGGCTGGGCCTGCGCGTCCGGAGCCTGTGCTCTGCAACGAGAGAGGCCACAACAGTGAGAGGCCCGCGTACCGCAAAAAAAAAAGAAGAGAGACATGAACTCCTTAATTGCATATGTATATATATATTTTTGCACAACAGCACAGAGTGGAAATGACCCTTTTTAAATTCTGCTTATCCCTTTATATGTGCTCCTGGGGCATGTTTGCTTGCTTCTTCTTGGCTGTAAGTTCCAACTCATCTCAATTTTGTCTCCCTGCAGAGAAATCTCTAGGCTCCTCCTGGGAAGCCCTGGGATGTAGGGAAAAAGAGGGCTATGGGGGGAAAGGGGGACAGAGGAGCTATTTGGAATGGGGGATGGGCTCATCCCTCCAAATTCTTTCCTTTTTGAAGAGCAGGGGATGGAATGATGATGGTGCAAAGCAGGGTAGGGGGGGACTGGGGGCATGTTTGTTTACTCCCATCTGTGACAGGTACAAGTGCAGAAGTTGTCCTTCAGGAAGTCTCTTTATCATCAAATACTCTAGAGCTGTGGGGCTCAGTAAATAGCCACCGACCACATATGGCTATTAAAGTGCAATTAAAATGAAATAAAATGAATAATTCAGCTCCTCAGTCACACTAGCCCCAAATCAAATGCCCAGCAGTCACATGTGCCCGAGGTTACTGTATTGGACAGTAAATTTTATAGAACATTTCCATCAGCACAGAAAGTTCTATGGGACAGCACAGCTCTAGAATGAAATTCCGAGGGTAATCCAGTGCAGCCTGCCCCGCCCTGCCTTCTCTCCCTTCAAGCTGGGGACCCTGCTGGACAGACCGCTCAAGGAAATGGACGAGGTTTTGTGGGGTGACAGCATTCACAGTACAGCTGAGAATATGCCCTTCACTTCAGCAACAAAACTGACCTCAGCAATGGAAGCAGCTGTCATCCAAGGCTCCATGGCTGAGCACCATTCAAGTGGAGGATGGATGACCACTTTCGGGGAGCAGGGCATACCTGTGTGTGTGTGTGTGTGTGTCCCCGGGCACATGCATGCCCGTGCATCTCAGTGTGTAGATGTATTTATGGAAAACTGAGGAAGGGGTTCTCCACTAAATGACCCCCAACGTCTTATCTCTGAAGACTATATTCCACTCCACATCTTTGGCCTGTTCTTAATGTTCTGCAGGAAAGGAGATGCCCTGGTCTCTAGAGTTTGCAACCTTTTTAAATTGGATTAAAATGTTTACAAAATTCTTTCATATTCTTGAGGAGAAACATACTTCCAGAAACTTGACATCATTTTCCTCTATCCAAACAGAACCTCTCTCATGTTCCGGTTTCAGGTTCTCTACTCAGTGGACTTATAAACCAGGCACTGATTATGGGATGATGCAATAGGGGTCAGGCATCACTGGTATTTGAGAAACTTTTAGGAACTGTCTGGATGCCGCTTTATATAATATTGGGTTAACAATGAGAAAAATTTTCCCTTTTCCACTCCCTTTCAATTCTGATTGTGTCAAAGAGAAAATTTTCATTTTGGTCCTATGCTTTAGCCCCTCTGTAACAGTTGCTAATCTACTTTTTTAACAGAGGGAAAGGGAGTCTCTGAGCCTTGGTCAAGGAAGGGAAATCTAACTAAGATTTGAAACATCACTTTGTTTTCATTGTATTTCTTTTCATGGTCACTTTCTATTCATGGCAAGTGATTCTGGTCTTCCATTTTATGATAGTGATCAAAATATCCCTTTTAAGATAAATGTACTTAAGAGTGTATGTCAAGAAAGACATTAATAGGGTAGACGGTAGGTAAATAAAAGCCAAAGTTATGAAGACAGTGCAAGAATGACAGTCATTTTGGAAACTGTTTTGATGGAAAGAGCCATAGATGTTAGGGTCTACTCTAATTGAAGAATTGTGTCAGAGGTCCCAGTCATGGGCAAATCACTTCAGCTCCCTGTAAACAGTGAGGTAGGCAGTGATGGGGAAAGTACCTGTTGTGTCCAACTGATTGGATCAAAGGTAATGGTAAGGTGGGATGGTTGGTAAGCTTTGGAGGGAGGGTGGGCTATAGAGGCATAAGCTGTTATGACCATTAATAATCCTTCCTTTGTTCTAAGCCAAAAGAACATCTAGTCATATCTGGTTTCTGAATCCTTCAGGGCAAGGCTGGATCCTCATGGGATCACTGGGAAAAGTCTAGTGGTTCTGGAGGGGATGCAGAGAATCAATAGAAGAATAGGTTACCATTTGGTCTCCCCTCTTCTGGATAGAACTTGGAGTGACCGAGGTCTCAGTCGCCACCCACATCCACACCCCTACTCACAAGTCAGAGGCACACCAGGGTCTTGGGGGTGGACTTTTGTGATGTATTGTTACTCGCAACAGGTGTTTTGCTAAACTGGATAGGAAAAGTTGTGGAACAGATATTCTTCTCATGGATCTTGACTCTGGGGTTCCTGTTCGGTTTAGTGTAGTAGTTTCTCCTGGAGGATTTGGATTTTGGTAGGTGGCATCCCATCGACCTGGGAGGCAAGTGGAAATAGAAACGTTCAGTCGGTCATTTGCTGATCTTTGGCTTTTAGGAAAAACCTGGTGAGATCCTGTGGGAAGAGAGAGAATAAAGTGATTTGTTCCATTCTTCATGAGGGATCACAAGGACAGAGGTAAGGTCAGTTTATAGGAAAAGGCAGTAGAAGTGATTTTTTTAAAATCCAATGAACGGTGCAAAGTTGCATCAGAATTCACAGGGAGACTACAGTCAAGAGGTTAGGTTTACTAAGAATTCAAACTGGATCCGGAGAGACGTCTGATGGAGTGAGAGTGTGCTAGGTGCCAGGCTGTTTACTAAGCATTTCAGTATCAGCAGCTCATGTAATACAATAATACCACGAGATAAACACTACGTTGCCACGTTACCCACAAGAAGCAGACTTTGAGAGGTTCGTTTGCCCAACATCAAACAACAAGTTTAACTGATAAACATCGAATTAGAACCCAGTTCTGAGTCCAGAAATGAGCTCTTAACCACTTTGATACACTGTCTACTAGAATGTTAGGCCTGGAAAGAGCCTGAGAAATTTAGTTCGATCCAAATACTTCATGGAATAGATAAGAAAACAGGCCCAGTGGGATTTCATTGTATTTTCCCTAGTTTGCCACAGTTAAAAGTTTTGTGCAGAAAACTGGTAGAAAATGAAGGAAAAGAGTGAATGTACACAGGGATCTCTATCTAGAGGCATATGGTCATTGAACCTTCACACCACTCTATGAAGTAGATATTATTCCCATTTTACAGATAAGGAAACCAAGGCCTAGACATGTTAGAGCAATTTCCCTGGGGTTACAGAGCTAGTAAGGACCACACCTTGTTAGTTTTGGTTCCAGGTCTAATACAATATCAAAATCTGTCTCTTTCTGCAACATCCTCATGAGTTCCCAAGCCAGGAAAGCGAGGTCGATTGTGAAGGGACAAGGCTAAGAGCACTGAGGTGCCCTGAAGAGCTGTGAACAGGGAATGATGGAATGGAGGCAGCATCTTAGGAAAGTGAACTTGGGGTGGAGAAGATACCGCGTGGGAATGGGCCTGGTGGCAGGGAGTGCTGCTGGGGAGCCCTTGTTGCAGTGTAGGCTCTTGGTGGAAAACTTGGAACCCCGCCATGGCGATGGCAATGAAGAAGGAGCAAGCACTCAAGAGGCACTGTTAAGGAAGTACCTGAGTTTTCAGGGTTTGGTGAAGGGAATGTAAGGGAGGAAGGAGAGATGGTGCCGGCGTCTTGAGCCTGAGAGTTTGCGAGGACGGCAGTGCCCTAGATGGCCGTGGGGAGGGCAGGAAGAATCACTTTTGAAGGGGAGGGTGAGGAGGCTCATTTGGAGGGGATGGCAGGATGAAGTCAAGCCAACTGTCAATCAGGAAGTTGGGGGCTTCCCTGGTGGCACAGTGGTTGAGAGTCCACCTGCCGATGCAGGGGACACGGGTTCGTGCCCCAGTCTGGGAAGATCCCACATGCCGCGGAGCGGCTGGGCCCGTGAGCCATGACCGCTGAGCCTGCGCGTCCGGAGCCTGTGCTCCGCAACGG